ACTTCAATCGCGTTAGTGAATAATGGAATTAAATAAGTCAAATATGAGAATGAAGTTTGAATAAACATATTTTGTATAATCGTTGATCCCTACAGACGATCAAATAAACAAAGCGAATAAAGAGAACAGGAGAGTGAGAAGTGAAACGGATCGGAGGTGGCGTGTGAGCTAGCTCGATTTAATCAGGATTGACTAAGTATTTGTGGTCGAACAAAAATAAGTTATAGACACGATCATATAAAAACAGTCAGGGTTAGTAAACGAATAAGTGACAAGGTAAGAATGTGGCTTGAGTATAATGAATAGGTTGGTCAGTCTAGAGACTAGAATAACCTATATAGGCTTGACATAGTACCAGCCCCTACAATATAAGACGGTTAGACTTTTAGATATAGGAAATGACAGAGTATAAATGTATGAGATTTTCTTTTGGAAAACTCAGGTGTATTTAGATATTCAGTCAGTAAGATACCCAGTTACTTCTGGGTTTTGTAATAGTTACTACTTATTAGCTAAATATACGTGATACTTTTTACAGAATCTAAACCTGCATCACCTAGTGTTACAGTAAAAGGCATTATAACTAAGCTATTTCAGTTGCGAATGACCTTCTGCGGGACTGAGTTATTTACAACTAATCAATCTCAATTTAATGACCTATATAGTGTTTGATTAGTCTCTTGTGATAACCGTAATCCTCTCAATTATCCTGTATTATGATTACCTAGAAACAGAACTTGGTGTACACGATTTTAAGCCATTAAAACTAGTGATTATTTTGGTGAATTAAACGATGGGGGGTTCTATTTTTTTCTTCATTGAATCGCCTTTATATTATTATTAAGTCTGTTTTATGTTCTCTGTCCTCATTCATTTCCCCTGAACTCTTTTGTGTATTGTTTTATACTACTTATTAATATTGAGTAAACAGTTGTTTTTCTGGTTAGCATCAAGTTGCCTAGACATGATACTCAACATCCATTGAACGGATACCATCAGTAAAAGACTTCTGTGAGAGAGAACAAACCAGCTTCTAGTTGAAGAGGAAATTAAGAAAAGAAGATGGAAATAGATAGGACATACATTACACAAATCATCAAACTGCATCAAGAGGCAAGCCCCAACTTGGAATCCTGAAGGGAAGAGGAAAAGAGTAAGGCCAATGAACACATTACGTTGGGAGATTGAAGGAGATATGAAAAGGATGAATAACAACCGGAAAGAACTAGAAAAGATTGCCCAGGACAGAGTTGGATGGAGAATGCTAGTGGGTGACCTATGCTCCTTCACGAGGAGAGTAACAGTAAGTATGTAAACAGTTGTATTACTAACAACTTCTACGCATATGTTATTATTCAATTATATCATGTAAAATATTGACATATACATAACATTTATTGTATTTATCATTATAATTACTTTCTCTCAGTCCTTGTAACAGTTATTCACAAGTTGTGTAATTGTTTAATCCTTGTTTAAACACAACAGTTTCCATATTGTTTGTTCTTGATTCAGTATTTGCTTGTTGATAAACTGTTGCCAAGTTTAGATACAGTTAACAACTGTTATTTACACTATCATATGTTGTAATTATTCTGTATGTTACTATTACAGGGAACATTTTCTTATTCCAAACTTACAGATGTGGTAAACGCCACAGATACCTCACATGTTGAGGTTTATAACTAATTTATGTTTATTATTCAATGAAGAACGGCTTTCTTTTAGACAAGTCGTTGTATTGTGAACTTCGATCTCATGTGTATCCCAATTAAGTGATTTAGACGCTTCGATAGACAATAACAATTATAATATTAACAATAAGAACAAATTATAAGATGGTGGAGAAGATTTGTAGCTCAAGTAGATGATTTGGATAGAGTTTTGTTCTCTGAACTGGATAGTTTGATCATGGAGCTTTCATCGTTCTTATGAACGACATCATCAGTAAAAAACTTCAGTTAGAATTGAAGTGTTCGATTTTCTCGATTTCTCGAATTTAAAGTTTGTTCTGATAATGTCGTTGAGAAGAATGACGAAAGCTTCACCATCAAACTATCCATCTTAGAGAACTAAATTCCATCAAGAAAAAGGAATTATACTCATTCTGACGTCTTTTTTAAGGTTTGGAAATGATCTGGCTCAATATCTGAGTCATAATTTATTAATATTTATAAGCAGACGATATTTACTCTTTATCTACTGATGACTGCATAGTTACTTGATTGTAAGCAATAGAAATTCTAGATAATACATACTATGAAACTGGTAACAACATCCGTGGAAAGGGGAATATCTGTGCGATCGCATAACATCACAGAATAGCTAATCAATGTTTATTGGCATTCAATGTTTTGTTTTAAAAAGAAAATCAACCTATGATCTTTAAACAAGATTTCAATTTATTTGGTTGGTTTATGAAAATTTATTTATCCGGAAAATATTTTTTTTTTTTTGTTATTGTAAACTACAGAGAAATCGATCATTATTTCTCATCTTAGTTTATCCCTTATCAACAATGTGAATCTATGATATGAATATGAAAATGAAATAGTTTTCAATGATTCTTGAAGATAGTTGTTATAGTATTAGGGTTGTGAAGATTATTAAGTTTTCAATTGAGATCATGAATCGACTGATGTTAGACCACCGTTGGAAACCTGGAAGCACTGGAAGGCTGTTTCGTCCTATTGATTACTGATAATCAACATGTGCTCACTAGTGACTAGCTTCGTGAGGGAACTCTCGGAGTTCTAGTGAGAAGCCATGACCAGTGGAGCTAATCCTTGTCGGGTAGAGATAGGTATCTACCTCAGTACAATGGAAGGTGGTCACGCAATTTCGTGGATTGGTTGATGTTAGACACTAATACCATTGGATGCCGGCCGGCTCAGTGGTCCAGTAGGTTAAGCGTTCGAGCGCGAGACTGAAGGCCCTGGGTTCGCATCCCGCTAGCGGGATCGTGGATGCGCACTGTTGAGGAGTCCCACAATAGGGCGAGATGGCCGTCCAGTGCCTCCAGGTTTCCAACGGTGGTCTAACATGAGTCGATTCATGATCTCAATCGAAAATAGTTGTAATATCCTGACGAGAATAAGAAATGGTAACTGTAGGCAGCCATTTATGGCCTAATACGAGACATATATTCTTGTTGGATAACTATCTAGTAACTAGATTATGTTCCTCCAATTATAAGCTTTATTTCCACTCATAGACTATTATTATACGATTTACCATTCTTTAGTTATGTCCACTTTAGTAATTACTATCTCTCACGTCCACAGCCACTTTTGGCTAGATCTTGTACAAATATTATTTTCTATTTTATAGTAGGATGTGGTCTGTTTGATTGGTATATAAACCCTGTATATTTGAAATGTATGATTAATATTGCAGATGCTGAGATTGATGTTCTGGATTTAACAGGCAGGGCTAGACAGTGAGAAGGCTAGATAAAGACTCTGGACTGAGCGTACTTGTTTTATGTAACGTTGATCTGGTCGATAATTGACTGTTCTCTAATTGACGGTATCATTACGTCATATATTTATGGTGACACAAGGCCAAAAGTTATAACAACAGTAATGCTCGTCACTTTCTGTTATAACTTGTCGCCTGTGTGTGCCCTGTTAATGTATAACGTAACGATATTGGGAGTTAGGGAGCAGCGAACTATCGATCGGACCAATGACGCATAAAACCCGTACGAGCATCCTAGAGTCCTTATTGGTCCTGCTTTCCACCTAGTCCAGTCAGTTAAGTCCAGAACAGCAATCTCAGCATCTGCAATATGAATCATACATTTCAAACATACGGGGTTTATAATATTACAATCAAATAGACCACAACCTACCATAAAATAGAAAATAACATTTGTACAAGATGTAGCCAAAAGTGGCTGTGAATGAGGGAGGTAGTGATTAATAGACAAGGCATAATTCAAGAATGGTAAATCGTATAATAATAGTTGGTAGGTCAAAATAAGGCTCATAATAGAAGGGATATGAACATCAATAGTTTAGTTAACAATTATACGATAAAAATATATGTATAGTATTGGTCCATCAATGAATCTCAACAGTTACCATTCATTATGCTTATCGGGACCTAACAGTTTCAATTAATCTCCATAAACCTCCCATTTAAATGGTAACTATATTCACATGTGAATAACTATTATTTAAAAAAAAACATAATTCACAAAGTTCAACATCATGGATACAATTCTTTTTGTTGATTTCAATCCCAATGAATGAAAAACTCAAAGTGGATAACATTTAAAGATTGAAACGCATAATTAAACCATAAATAATCAAAAGAAGTATAATATTTGACTGAGATCATGAACTGATTGTTGTTAGACCATCATTGAAAACCTGATAGCATTGGATGGCTGTTTCGTCCTAGTATGTGACTTTTCAGTAGTGTGCATCCATGAGCTCGCTCGCGGGACTCGAACCTAGGGGCTTCAGTCACGCGCGCGAATGCTTAACCTCTAGACCATTGAAACTCAGTGAACGTCCAGTGCTTCCAGGTTTTCAATGGTGGTCTAACACATCAATCAGTTCATGATCTCAATCAAAAATTTAGTAATCTCCACAACCTCATACTGGTAAATGTAATATTTGACAAATTTTAACAGATTAACTTCAACAAACAGATTACAAACTATAAAACATTATCAGGAGTTTTGTGGAGATTTTAGAAAATTTAATAGTTGATATCATGAGTCCATTGAAGCTAGACCAACATAGAAAACATGGAAGCACTGGATGGCTGTTTCGTTCTAGTATGGAACTCCTCGGCAGTGAGCATCCACGATTCCGATCTCCGCAAGATTCGAACCCAGGACCTGTTGGACTCGCGCGCGAGTCAACCGGCATCCAACGGTGTTAATGTCTAACTTCAATAATACATTAAACATTAGGATACTTTTTACTTATTATGTAATCAATGTATTAAAATAATATCATATGGTTCATATTTACTATTAACATATTAAACATAAATACGAAGTTTTGAATTAACCAATCATATTTCTTCTTGAATGTTTATCTATTCAATATGCCTCCGTTGTTTAAAACTGGCCAATCACAGAGAAGAATGATTTTCCCTAAACAAACTTTATTGTCTCGGTTATTTTTCTTTTTTTTTCTTCTTTTGTTACATCATAATTAAGCTGAAACAAATGCATCAATGTATATCTATTGTAGATAATAAACCGTATGAGGATAATATCAAGCATACCATAGAATCTAATAGAACATATTCAACAATGAATGAATCAAGAAAACATTCCAGATCTAGTAAACAATATGATAGATTATATCATCATTTCAATGAATTAAGAAAAGATTATTCTATACATGATCTCATAGAAGATGATGATGATGATGATAATGATGATGACGATGATAATAACCATAATAGTAATCATCCAATCTCTTATTCAGATGATGAATGTACCTCTAGATCTTCTAGAAAATATAGTTTCTCTCAATTATTATTACGTAAAGCATCTAATCTTTCAAAACGATTTAAATATTATATGATGCATAGTATTACATTATTTAATGAAGATTTATATGGTTTATCATGGTCAGAAGCACATGATATATTACAATCAACTTATGGAATATCTATTGAAACAAATGACAATACATCATCAAAGAATTGTAAAAAATTACGTCATTTTAGTACATCTGTATTACCGAATGATTATACTACTATTACTACCAATACTACTACTAATACTACTAATACTACTAATACTACCCCTATTACTTCATCAACTAATTCTATGAATAGAATTTCACGTAAATATTCAGATAGATATTCATTACAAAAACATTCAAGACTTTATCAATTAGATAAACCATATTATATACAATGTAGATCGACTGAACCAAATATAACAAACATTTCAATGTATATTGATAATGATTTAAAAAAGAATAATTTATCAAAATTATCTTTCACAAAATTAAATCAATCACAAATGAATAAAATCAATAAACAATTAATAATCAATGATCAATTATCAATAAATCAATCATGTCATAGCAACAATAAGAATAATAAATATACAGTTGACTATAAAGATTTACAATCCATAGAAACTAAAAATAATAGATTACATCATCATTATTATCATAAATATTATCAACCATTAGAAGATATTAAAAATTGGTTTATTCATTTAAAAGAAAGTCGACGAAAAACTTCCATGGAATTAGAGGTACTAAATAATAATAATAATAATAATAATAATAATAATAATAATAATAATAATAGACGAATTCGTAAATCTCTATCTAACTGATTGATTTTCTATGTAAAACCATGATGAAGAAGAAGAAGATGATGATGATGACGATGGACAAACTCATCAGAGTATTGTACAGTTATCTTCAGTAGTATCTGTTCATATGAAATAAAAAAATCTTTGATATATATACCTATCTATCGATAATATGTATTTAGTTTATGAATAAATACTGGTTAGTGTTTTTTTTTTATTGTTAATAGTAAGGTTGTTTTCTATGAGATAGGGATGTTAACCTCCACGATCAATCCTTATTCTTTACAAAGGATTCGGATTGTCAGTAATTGTAGAAGAGTTATATCAAGACAATTCTAATGGATACAGGTGAAATGTAGAGAACTATTACAACCATCATCGACAGGGTACAAATATTTATAAACAATTATCTATATAAGATACTCAATATCCATTAGTCGGATATTATCAGCAATAAGCTACTGTTAAAGAGAATAAACTAGTTTCCAGTTGATGAGGAAATAGGGAAAAGATGTTGAAAGTGGATAGGATATATATTATGAAAGTCACCAAACTGTATCCGGAAGCAAGCCCTAAATTGAAATCCGAAAGGGGAAATGGAAAAGAGAAAGATTAATGAATATACTACGTCGGGAATCGGAAGAAAACATGAGAAGAATGAATAATAACTGGAAATACAGTTGTATGGAGAATACCTGAAGAGTAACAGGTGGAAGTATACACTTTACTACGATATACTTTGATGATTATCAGTAATATAATTTTAGTTTTAAAGGAAAACTAACCATTTCTCAGAGACTAATAAATCAATCGTTTAAGTACATTTACTTGAAGCAAAAAGACCCCAAGAAAATGTTCTTAAACTAGTTCCTGACGAAAGAAAAATACTCTAGGGAATTTACTAAATATTTGATTTTAGGACTATAACGAATATCATCTCTCATGACTGATCAAAGAACTAAATAAAACAATAAAAAGTTCCATTCTGGAGCATCTAGTAGATATTCGTCATAGAATTCCAGTAAACTTACTTCATACTTCTAGAATTCATCTCTTATAAACAATGAAAATTATAAGGATTCATATAAGTAAACCTAACCTCTTTGTGGAAGAAATATACCATAGGATACCAGCTCAGTGGTCTAGTGGTTAAGCCCCCACGCGTAACACTGTTATGTCCTAAGTTCGAACGTCACGAGGCGTAATCATGGATACGCACTGCTGACGAGTCCCACAATAGGATGAAACGGCTGTCCGATGATTCCAAGTACTCCATGGTGATCTAACTTCAATTGACTCATGGTCTAATATTGTTCAATTTTAATTAAGAATTATAGTCCAATATAATTTGCCTTAATAATTTGATTATTTTGATTATCTTCTCATGTATTTCATGATTTATTGAAAGATAATTTCCATAATTAACAAAAAATATTGATATTGGATTGTATAATCCCACTTTAACCAATTTACCATTCTCAGTGTTACGTAACTAGTTGCATAATTAAATTAATTGTACATTTATATTCTGATTTTAATATTTAATTATTAATTTCAATAATTGAGATCATGAGACAATCGAAGCTAGACTAACATGGAAAACCTGAAAGCACTTGACGGCTGTTTTATCCAATTGTGGGACTCCTCAGCACTGTGCATCCACTATCTCACCCGGCGAGATTCGAATCCAGGTTCTATCAGTCTCGCGAGAGAGTGGTTAACCACTAGACCACTGAGCCAGCCGGGATTCAACGGTGTTAATGTCTAACTTCAACCAATCTATCTATCTATCTATCTATCTATCTATCTATCTATCTATCTATCTATCTATCTATCTATCTATCTATCTATCTATCCACACATCTATCTATCTATCTATCTATCTATCTATCTATCTATCTATCTATCTATCTATCTATCTATCTATCTATCTATCTATCTATCTATCTATCTATCTATCTATCTATCTATCTATCTATCTATCTATCTATCTATCTATCTATCTATCTATCTATCTATCTATCCACACATCTATCTATCTATCTATCTATCTATCTATATATATATATATATATATATATATATATATATATATATATATATATATTTGTCTATCTCTATCTATACCTAGATTTATATACTCTATGTATCTGTATACTACTTTACAAAAGTGTTATGGGACTAACTGAAAAGTAATATTTCTTTGCTTAGTTTCTATGTTTTTTTCCATCAAGTTATCAATTATACACATGGGAGGCTTATCATTTTGTTACTGAAGCAAGGAGAATGAATGTTACTTGTCGCAAGTGTACTATTCTTTTAATACATGATAATTTTAACTTAGACAACAAAAAACCTTTTTCCATTTAGAAAAACGATTTGTCGACAAATATTGTTCTTGTAAAAAACAATTTAGCAGATTAGGAATAACGTATAAAAATATTGAAATCAATAAATGGATAGTGGCTAGCAGTGGAATCCAGGAAGCGCGTTTCATCCTACTTCAAGACTTGTCAGTTGAATGTACCTGTATCTCAGAGTTGTTGTTCACTCCTACTCTCGAATCCAGCACCCTTCGCTTCAAACGTCATTCTGTTATCCACTTAGCTACTGAGCCACCTTCTTGTGCAATGGAGTGAAGTTTAAATTCACTCAGTGTTGTTTTAGTTGTATATTCCCATTATTATCATGTTGACATATGTGTATTTACTTAAAAAGCTTATGAATTAAGTCAATATAGAGGCAATTCATACAGGATGCACATATGCCAACATGAGACTGATCAATTGCAATTCTAAATAATAATGGGAAGATACAAATAAAACAACATCAAGTGAATTAAGATCAATAGTTTATGAGAATGAAGACTACTAAAAGACACAATAACTAATCAGAAATGAAGTAATTTGGCCTAATAAGATAAAGTTTTCATTGATAGAATTGTTAATATGCCATGAAATATGATTAAACGATTATAGGATATTGATCGTTGCTCAATGAAATTAAGACTAGACAATCAGATCTAATTCCTTATGGTGATATCTCTGTCTTCGTCGTAAACTACTGTAGGATCTTGAAGTGATAATATTGAAGGTTCTGTTTGTATTCTTGAGATTTTATCTCATTAACTTTGTATTCATACAATTAATGACATTTCTGTATTAATAGACAGTGAACTAGGTAATACTTTGAAATTTATGATTACTTACTCTTCTAAATGAAGACCTTCCAACTCCCAGGGCAGATTTGAAATGGTTTGAATAATTTTTTCTGGTTAGAGTTTTTTTTTAACGAGTTAGTTTTCTAAGGGATTGGGTCGCTGACCTCAGGCCCAATCCTCCTCCTTTATCCAGGCTTGGGATCGGTAGTAGCCTCAGAGGGACTTCAGGCGGAGTTTGAAATTTATGATACTTTGGATTGATTGTATTAATTTCCTATTCAGGTTACTTCTTCTGTTGTGAATTGTTTCTAAACACTGTTATCGAAATACTAAATGGATTACTAATTGAATCAATAACTGATATTATTTCTATAACAACAAGGAAGAGATTATAATGAATTAGAAACAAAATTTAGTCTTGTAACTTTATTGACTAGCAACAATAACGACATCTTGAAATGTAGGTAAATGCAATTGATGAGTGTTATATATTGTCATATTGAATAGAAATGATGTAAGTTTGAATTATCAGAACTATCTTATTGAATAGGATAGGATTCGATCTGTGCTAAGAAGGACCTGACGTTACATTACATCGATCACCACCCAGTGACCAATGAATCGTGAATACACTTAGGTCCTATAAAAGGTCAGTTATGATCCGGATAGCTCAGTGGTAATATCTCTAACCGCGAAGCTGGATGACATGGGATCGAATCTGTCAGGGAGCATCAGTCCCCTCAAGATTACAGGTACACCTTACTGACGAGTGTCAAATAGCATGATAGCTATATCCAGGGTTTCCTGTTAACTACCTTCAACCCCCATCTTATCTTAACATAGTGCACGCAATTTCGATTCATCTAGACTAGTGGCCACATTGCAGCTTGGTCGATAGGATTTGATCTGCACTAAGAAGGACCTGACACACATGACATTGATCATCACCCAGTTATCAATCAATTATGATTACTGGAGATTACTATTTATACTTTTATTGTATAGATATTCAGTCTTGGATTATTGTATTTTCATATTCCCCTATTTCTAAACTCTTATTTGACCTATAAATCATTGTTATTAGTCATGTCGTTTTAAGTTTACGGTAAATTAGTTGTTTGATAATTGCTCTATTCTTGTATCATTTATAACTAAGTTGTGTACGTATTGCAATCTCATGTTTGTGAGCTGTGAGGTCCAGTGTTTAAAGTGCATTAATGTATGAGTTCTAAATCATGAAGGAATAGAGTACATCAATGAAGATATCTGTTTACTAGCTTCGTTTATTCACTGGACGTTGTGTTGCACGTAGCTCGAGGACTAAACAACGTTAACGTCTCGATATCATACATTGGTGACAGGGTCATTAATAAAATAGGTCATTGGTCATACTAATAAAGAAAGAATGAATCAATAATCGGACTAGACTATACTACTACTTTCATTCAGCATTTTAACAAGGGTCTGATAAAATACAACACGGAGAACATTAAACAAATCCCACTTGACAGAGAATACCTGGAAGATGTGGAATCTTACACATATATTGGAAGCATCATCGATGAACAAGGAGTATCTGATGCAGACGTAAAGGTGAGGATTGGCAAAGCAAGGACAGCATTCCTGCGATTGAAGAACATATAGAACTCAAAACAAATGTATCCAAGCCAATACCAAAGTGAGAATCTTTAATACGAACCTCAAGACAGTTCTACTGTACAGAGCTGAAACGTGCAGAACTACTACAGCCATAATTAAAAATGTACAAGTATTTATAAATAGTTTTCTACACAAGATACTCAACATCCATTGGCCGGATACCAAAAGCAATAGCCTACTGTGGGAGAGGACAAACCAGCTT